ACCTGCAGGCAGCTACCGATACTCGGTAGTGTCCACAACACACACAGTGCCTGAGATTCGGTGAAGGAGTGAATCAAGAGAAGTCTCAAATCCAAAATATCAACGCACGTCTAGCAAAGGAACGCATGGTTCATTCACACATCAGGCTTCTAGTTCCGTTACTTTTATCACTTGGCACATAAAACTTTCAATTACGTTAGAACATAAACACTGATATATTCAACAAAGTTCAGCTGAGTTAATTTCACTTAATGTAGTGGGTGTGAGGACTATGCACATACCTGAGAGTCGGTGAAGGAGAAGTGATTGCTCACCCCATGCGCTCAGTTATATACAACGCATTTACGCACATATTAATTTAACTCAGTTGCGGTATACAATGGACCATGACAATCAATATCACGGGTCAGATTGATTTCTTAAGGCTATTGCTTACAAATTAATCAGTATTCGAGCTTGCATTGCAATCAGTAAATTGATGTCAAGCACACTGGCTGGCAATACTATTTCATGCAGTGTCATAAAAAAAAAGGATAAGGGAGGTATCTTCTCTCACCATTAGATTTTTAGGGCGATAAGGAGTCGACATGTTTCTTTCAAATGATAGATAACTTTCTAAAATACAAAACTGAAAACAATTTCAATACAGTCATCAGATTCTCTGATAATTGGGAATTAAAACAATCCGACTTCAGTGGAAAATGGAAGCTTCGTTCGTCCCTCAGAACAGGGAATACGATTATCGCCTCTACTGCAAACTCTAATTCAAGGACATACTTGACAATTTTATTAAAAGTAAATACAGTTGAAGCTTTCAACATCACTCACAACGGACCTTGAATGTTTCATTTGAAAGCTGACATGTTTAACTTAATGCAACACACACATTCATTCGTAAATTTAAATCTATTAACATTAACAAAAGATACTAAGAGTGTTTGAAACCATGGCAGCAATGGGCATCTCAGTATTACTGAAGCAGTGAGAAAACGGACGTCTCAGTAGGGTGACTCAAGAAGTAAATTATAGCTCCATGTTTTATGGGCTATTGAGCGTAATATAAATCATTTGACTTTACATTAACTAATATGTATGACTGTGGTCATTATACGATCACCGGACTTTCACATGTCTGTCCACTCCCTAACAACACTCCAAAATTTCATAAAACTTTCCTTCGGTACCTCGCTCTTTATAAGGTTGTCTTAATTATTTATAGGTAGTCATTTATATCAAAATAAGCTATAATCATTAAGCTATCTAAAAATCAACATTTAAAAAGTTAATGTTACATATTTATTGAGAAAAAATTACATATGTATTACAATAACATACAAAGTTCTACCAAGATATAAGCTGATTTTACTCAATACACATGGAGTTACAACATTTTAAATCTCAATACATATTTCCAAATGTTCTCCACTCATCCAACTACTCACAACCTTACTTTACATAATCTTACAATCAATGATTAATTTACCTTTTTAGAATTTAACTAAGCATTGGTTTCCAGCTGATCAATTTATGCTCTTTCGTTGCAGAGGGATAATACAACTAATTAAGTTCCACCATTTTCTGTCCCATAGTAAAAATATATTTTAGAACACTAGAAATTAATTTTTTGGTGTAAATTTACATAAAGTCAATTCAACATCATTACGCTGCCCGAGGATCGAATCCCTGGTTCACTCTTGTGAGGTGAACATGATGACCATTACACCACATAATAAACCTTATGCATTTCATCCGGGTTAGAAATGTTCTCTGAGACAATTTACACTTACTTAATTTTGGCCCACAATGAGACGGAGCATTAATTCTCATGCTGATTCTTGAGTTTCGTGTGCGAAACATAAGGGTATGTTGGTCCTACTGCTCCCATATGACCATGTCCTATTCTTCAGCACACTTGGGACACAGTTGCAATTGATTAATTGAAACTTCTATTAGCAAAAAACGGATATCAGTATTTGTTTTGTTGCTGTTGATCATTTTCCTTGTTTCGGTAGTCTAGCACCACTTAAGGATAAAACAGCAAAATCAGTTGTACATGTATTTATGGAGAATGTTATTTGCCCTTTTATTACACCACAGGTGTTACTTCCAGATAATGGCATGGAATTCAACAATGCCATATTTGAAGAAGTTTGTGAAAAAGTTTAAGATATATCCTGCAACCAACGGCCTCGTTGAGAGACAAAATCGCAAGATTCGTGAATCCCACCATTATCTTGCTAGCCCTTATAGTATCGCTTAGGATGAATGTTTTCCACTGGTGCAAGCCTGTCTTAACGAATTTATTAACAAGTCCAGCAGAGTAGGAGTAATATACAGCGAATTATTATTAACACTGGTAATAACAATACTCTATGG